GATGTGGGGTGGCGAAGCAGTGCATAATGCTCAAAGAGATTAATAAAACATAAATGTTCCCAAGTACTGAAGCACTTGTGCAGAAGGAGGAGTCTTGCTTCACTTTTCCACTGAAAAGAACAACAACAACAACAAAATGTTGCAGGGGAGTTTTCTGTCTATCTACTCAGACATGTGTACTATTTTCAGTGGCACTTACTCCCAGGTAAACATGTATAAGATTGCAAGCAAATTTTTCTTCTTAAAAAGGGGAGGGGGGACCTACCAAGGCCAACATTTTTTCTGGACTTCCAGACATAATATTTATTAGCTGGAGAGTGGTCTGACAAAATGATATTATTTTCAACTCTGTTTAAAGCGGGGTGGGGCCTGGGAAAGATTACATGGATTGTTGAGTGGCAGCTGTATGTTTTGAAATGCTGTACTATTGTTCTTTTCCACTTTTTCTGCTTTTGATTATAAGCTGTTTTGGATGGGCATTTGCCCAGAAAAGCAGTCTTAAAATATTTTAAATGAACTTCCTGGATAATTCATACCTTTGCAACACTGACATTATAGGTACTTTTCAGAGGATGCCTACATCATTTACATCTAAATTTTCTGAAGCGAACCAAAATTTTATCCAGTTTGAACATTGGGGTGACATTTTGTTTAGCAGATGGCATACCTGAAACTCAGTTCTCCTCCATCTCTTCTAGCTAATCACCCTACCAAATGATCACCATAATCGTGAAACTTCATTATAGGACCTCTGCTGCCTCCAGTTACAGTGCAAACAGCACTGCATAACTTGGAAGAGATATGTCCCCCTGCATACAAAAGAACTGCAAGTGCACTATCATCTCTCAAAAAAGGAAATGTCTACACTGTGGAAATAGACAGACAGACAGACATATATCTAGTGCTTCTTTCCCTAGAAAAATAGGTGCTGGTACTCACCATGAAGTTGTTACAGTAAGTGCCACACTTTTTAACAAAACAAAACCAAAACAAAAAGAGGTGCTGGTACTGCATACCATTGAGTACCCCCTGAAAATATATGACTGTATATATCATTTGTATATCTAGGGGCAAACAGGTGTGTGTGTGTGTTTCCACCTAAGGTCTGCACATTTTTCTTGATTTTATTCTTTTATCTTTTTGTAAACCATTTTGAGGCTTTTTAAAAAAAAAAAATCATCAAGTGGTGTATAAATTTTATGAAGTAAATAAATAAGGGTCCCTCCATACTGGTCCTTTACTGCTACTGTATTCTGCAACATGTTCTTGACACAATGCCAGTGCGCTGGTGATGGATTTCTTCTGCTCTTGTTTGTTCTGTGATGCTTCCCCAATGCTACCACATGTTATTGCTGTCTGGAGGGGCTACAGCACAACAGAAGCACAGCAAAAATAAACCAGAACATTTATGGTTCCAGTGTTTCAGCTCTGGGATGTGCACTGACTGGAAAAGAAGCCATCTGACCACCCCAAAACTTTGCAGGCACAAACTGTAGTGGAAGCAGGGTCGTGTTCGACCGCCCAGAAAAGCACCATGAGCACAACGTATCAGGAACACACAATGGGGGAAAAAAAGATGTCTACAGCAGGGGTCAGCAACCTTTTTCAGCTGTGGGCTGGTCCACCGTCCCTCAGACCATGTGGTGGGCCGGACTATATTTTTTTGGGGGGGGGATGAACGAATTCCTATGCCCCACAAATAACCCAGAGATGCATTTTAAATAAAAGCACACATTCTACTCATGTAAAAACACGCTGATTCCTGGACCGTCCGCGGACTGGATTTAGAAGGCTATTGGGCCAGATCCAGCCCCCGGGCCTTAGTTTGCCTACCCCCGGTCTAGAGGGACCCAAAGCTGCTCACATTGTGCAATGCCTGCTAACACAGTTACAGATGTCATTGACATCTGAGTGCACCTTAAGGCACAGGTGGTTTAAAAACCATTATGATCCCACCCAGCTTCATCAAAAGATGGCAAGAAGAAATGTAAAGAAAAAGAAGGCACTTTTTATATGTGGTGGTCTTGTAAGGTAATAATAAAATCATATATAATGTGATAAAAAAATGTTCAAATTAACTTTTGTAAAAAAAACACCAAAAAACCAGAGACTTTTTTATTAGGAATTATAGGTGCTGATATTCCAAGGAAGCAGAAAAGACTTTTGACGTATGCGACGACTGCCTTATGGATCTACTAGCCCAGAGATGGAAAGAAGACCAAGTCACTACCAGAGAAGAATGGCAAATTAAACTGTTGGACTATGCTGAAATGGTAAAACTGAATGGAAAGCTCAGGAACCAAGAAGACTAAAACTTCAACAAAGAACGGGGAAAATTTATAATTTATCTTGGAGACCACTGTGAGCAGATGAAAACATTAGCAGGATTGCAATAACATTCATAATGTAGCAGGTACTATGGAGACAATGGAGTTATATAAAATATAGATTATTGGGAAAGATGCAGCAGAAAAGGCTTAAATATAGGACCAATGGAGGGGAGATGGGAAGTCCAGAAATTCGGAGGAATGTAAATGTGGATGTGAATGGATGTATTGTTATAAATATATACTCGTAAAACCAAATAAAAAATATTTTTAAAAAATATGGCAAGAAGGCAACGAAGGTTCATCTTACTCTAGAATGCTATTCTTTGTGTCGGAACTGTCTAAAACAAGAGAAAATTTTATTCAGTTTGAATGCTTGAGTGACAGATTATTTAGCAGATTGTCTTTCTGAAGCCTGGTTCTCCCCCATCTCTTCCACTGAATCATCTACTCTGCACCATTCCTCCCTTATCTCTGTATCTGTAACTCTCAGGAGAAGCAGGGGGCGGTGTGTGTGTGTGATTCTTCCCTCCTTTAATTGCACAGCACTCCTGGCACCATCCCGCCTCAAAGGCAAAGTTCCATTGGAGCCAACTGCTTCCATTCTAGCCTAAAACCTGCCATTGATAGAGGGAGTTGTTGTCTTTTCTTCCTCAGGACATGGGCCAGCTGCTTCGCAGCAGAACTAGCAGCATACAAAGGAACAAGTTGTAAATGTTGGAGAGGCTCCTCGCCCCACAAGATTCCTGCAGAAATGCCATCTGTGGTTGTTTTCTCATCCAAAAGCTCTTTCTTGTTCATTGTCTGCATCCATCCAATAAAATAAAGAGGGGGAGCGTGTTGCTATTACAACCGAGTTTCCACAAACCACTTAAATTTGCCTAAAAAGGGGAAAGGCATCGCCTGAAGAAAGCAGGGTCAGGATTTGCATAAGATTTGCATGTACCCATTTATGCGTATAGATGCAAACAGAGGAATCATCACTACTATATAAATAGAAATAAAAGTCCCAAGTGGCTTCTGAGTGTAACCTGAGTCATCTTTATAATAGGAAGGACCAAACTCCAAACATAAACATTAATGACAAATGGAGCTCAGTAATTGTTTTTATAAAGACCCCTATGTCACAGAGTTAAACCCCCAGTTTAAAAGGTTAGCATAAACACACACACACACCATAGTTAATTATCAAGACAGCATTGGCGACACCACATGGCTGGTGTTAGAAGTAGAGGAGAGCAACTCCCTAACCCCAAGACACCGCAGTTAAAGGCAAAGTTGGAATCCGTTTCCTTTCGCACTCTAACAAGCACCTAGCATTTTTGCTTTGATGCAGCAATTGAAAGCCTAGCTTTTAAAGGAAAGCGACTCAGATTATATATATATATATTGTCACAGACCACCCCAGTCTCTGAGAGGTGTGAGATTCCAAGGTTCCAGGCGCTTGCCCAGGGTTCCTGTTTCCTCTTGGAAATAAGGCACAGCGGAGAATGTGGTGTCTTCAGGATATATGGTTTATTTGCACATATATACAACCTGAGCCTGCGATGGAGGGGTTTGAGGCATGAACACTTTGAGAGGGTCCTGTTTCTTCCCTTGCTGCAGCCTTGGATTCAAAAAGAGATCAAGCATGGCTCTGATCCTCCTCTTTAGCTTGCTGCGTTTTAACAGGCTGCCGTCTTCCCCTCTGGCTTGCTGACACAGTTTTTCCTCCAGCCCACAGCATCCCCGACTACAATCCCAAATACAACTCCTCTCCTTCCAACTCTAAAAAGAATTGCTACTGCAAAGGCTATTGTCTTTCTAATTAATTATGAGTTGTGGGAAAGGCCTTTCCCACTTGCTCTCTGGAAAAGAGCCATTCCCTTTGTGCCCCTAACGACTCATCTTTAGAGGGTCATTACCAGGCTAGCTCCTGGTTTGTATTTTAACATGCTAAATCCAGTGTGTGGCACCCAGGAATTAGATGGGGGGTCCAGGCACCCACAAACTGATAACAGCATACTATGTGGAATTTTTGCAATGTGATGCTTACAAAGATCCATGTTTTTAGATCTCTACAGTTTTTCAGATAGATAGATGGATGATACGCAACTAAGTTTTAGTCAGAGGAGACCCACTGAAATTAATAAACAAGATTAAGTTAGGTCCATTCATTTCAATGAGTTTACTCTGAGTAAAACTTAGCTGAATATCACTCATGTTTTTAAATATATATTTCTGTTGTGCACGGCTTGAAAAACATTAGCGGGGAAGTGGTTTAGAAGCATTAAATAGAAAAACAAATAATGTTGACCCTGCAAGACATAGGAACTTCTCAAAGTTGTGATAAGAGCTAGGCCCTCCCCCCCGCCAACTTAGGGAAATAGTGGGCCCAAAATATTACTCAACCAAGCAATAGATTGGAGCCTCCCAAACTGATGAAACATCATTCCCAGTTTACAGATTTGATGGGTGCAAGATACTTTAATCACTACCTCAAGTTGGTCAATGTCAAGGCCGAGTAATGTCCACTTTGCCTTTACTCTCCCAGGATGGTTCAAGAATGTGAGGACCAGGTAAATACTGAAGAGCAGCCTCAGAAACTTGGTAAGGATTGCCACCGCCTAAGATGTAGATCTGAAGTTCAGAGAGTCTGCCAAGCTTCACAAATTCAACAACCACTCCTTGGATTTACTTTCCAGATTTTGCTGCAAGAGCAAACCAGAAGTGTTAGATTGGGGTTTAATTCAGGGGCAGCAACACATTCCTGAAGATGCAGTGAGGTCACAATCAGCAAAACTTCTCAGATTTTCAGCCTTTTGAGAGGACTTGAGCTATCTCATCTGCATTATAGTGCCAAGAGAAGGCTGGCTCTGTCATGTCTCACCTTAGGCAGCAGCAGCCAAGCTGGTGGGGCAGAGCCATAGAGACACCCTCCCAATACCAATGTTGCTACAGCTTCCCTGGATTGTGCTGGGGTGAGATCTGTTATGAGACCCCTATTTCCCTCACAGTTACAATCAACAGAGTGAATTACAAATCAGTCCATCTTCACAGGGAACTCTGGGAAATGTAGCTCTGTTAGGGGGCTAGGAGTCTCCTGATGACTCTCGGGATCCTTAATGAACTACAGCTCCCAGGATTCTTTGGGGGAAGCCATGATGACTGTTTAAAGTGGTATCAGAGTGCTTTCAATGTATGGTGTGGCCAGAGTGAGAGTGTTGCCTTCCCTCTTCCTACTACTACTACTAAAATTAATAACAAATGTCTTGACATTAAGTTTCATTGGTTTCAAAAAGGGCCTGCTCTGGAACATCTTATACAGTGGTAACTCTGGTTACGTACTTAATTCATTCCGGAGGTCCATTCTTAACCTGAAACTGTTCTTAACCTGAAGCACCACTTTAGCTAATGGGGCCTCCCGCTGCTGCCGCCGTCGCACAATTTCTGTTCTCATCCTGAAGCAAAGTCCTTAATCCGAGGTACTATTTCTGGGTTAGCGGAGCCTGTAACCTGAAGTGTCTGTGACCTGAAGCGTCTGTAACCCGGGGTACCACTGTAAAACCTTCTCCACTTTCTGCCTGCACAGCTGTCCTTTGAGTCCTAAGGATTTTTCACAATGATTTGTAAAGTTCTGTGTCTTCTGAGCTCTGGGAAACAATGACCGCTCCCCACATCAAAAGGGGGTCGCCTTTTGCGTGGTTGCACACAGCCCCCTGGATCCCATGCGGCTTCTGGCAGTACGGGCTGATGGCTTTGCCCTCCCCAGACTGGATACCTGGAGGTCTCCGCCTACTTCAGCCAATTGCCCAATCCCGCCTGGGGAGGCATTGCCAGAGGATCGGCCAGGTAGGGGGAGGGACCGCCCTGTCCACACAACAGAAGGTGGATCTTACCTGGGAATCATCAGTTGGCTCCAGAGCTTTTCCCACCCTGCCCTCCCTCAGTTAAGCCTTCTTTTGCAGGTTAACCTCTTCTCCACAGGTACGTGGGCGCTGCTACGTCATGGTCACTGTTGAATGGCTAGAAAGGAATTTTCCTGCATTGGCAGGCTTTGACTTCCCCATAGCAAAATGTCACAACTTTGGTGGTTTCAAGCCTTGGGCGAAATCCTTTAGTCTATCTTCCCTAAATGGGGGGGGAGGGCATGAAGCGGTGACCCACGCCCCCTTGCGGTGGCGATCCCAGAGTTCCCCATTATAGGGGTCTTGAGGGGAGGCATTGGCCATACGCTGAGAGGTTGTCATTGCTCTCCCCTGCGACGGTGGTGAAACAGGGGGCGAGCTCTCTGCTTGAACATATGTTCTCCAGAGCCAGCCCAATCCCCACACATTCTGGATAACCCTGGTGTCCCCCAGATCCCCAGCTGGGGACTGGGAAGGATAAACGCCCAATGCTTGAGCCAAGGTCTCCCTACATCTGAAACTTAATAAAGTTGTGGCCAATTTTAATCTCATAGCACGTTGTCTTGAGTCATTATTTCACTCGGGAGTTGCCTGGGGTTGGGGGGACTCCGCATGTCCACGCAAATGGGAAGCTCCTTCCTCAGTTTGATTCTTTCCTAAATCTTGGTTCAACAGAGGAGTCCTTGGCAAAAGAGCCAAGAAACTCCCCAAGCAGTTGAACAAAGTATGATGTTTTGGTGCACTCTAAACAATTTTTTTGGGGGGGGTGGAGAGGAGTAGGGGACTTTTGTACAAAAAGTTGGAAATGGACAAGAAAGCCAATGTGGTGTTATGGTTAGAGTGTCAGACAAGGACATGGCAGACCAGGTTTCAAATCCTCACTCAGCCATGAAGCTCACTGGGTGACCTTGGGCCAGTTGCTTCCTCTTGGCCCTACCTCACAAGGTTGTCGTGGGGAGTAATTGAGATGGGAGAGAACCAGAACCTGAGCTCATTGGAGAAAAAGGTGGGATATAAACACAATAGAGAAATTCAATGAATGAATGAATGAATGAATGGGGGCGGGGTTGATAGCAAGGAAAAGCATAACCCCTCAACCTGTCACAGAATGGTAACCAAGAAAAGGATAGGCTTACTGTTTGCTTCTGTGGCTTGTGGCCTTGGCTTGGCTAGAGCAAGTAGCCTCTCTGAGGCTACAGCATTCTTTGCTGCCTGAGTCACCTGAAGACAAGAGAGAAGGATGTCATATTCCATGGATGCTCTACATCTGTGCGCCAGGACTGCACACAAGCAAAGAGAGGGTGGCAGGTGGCACGAAGGAGCAGCCAATCAAATTCCCCTTGCAGCAGCTCTCCAAAAATTATGCCCAATGAGGTTCACTATTTGTTGGCATCCATTTGTCTTAAGAGACAATGGAGTGTGCCTCTGGGGGCGAAGTCAAACCACTGCATTAGCAGCACTGAAGTGACCACCCTGGGGAGCAAGCCTGGGCAGTGTGTATGGAGGTCCTGCGCTGCCCAGATGCCAACACCTGCCCCCTCTCGGCCTCACTGATGTGGTCCAAAGTGAAGCAAAGCAATGCATTTGGCACCTGCTTGGCTGCAGGAGTTGTTGGAAGGAGGCGTACAAGACGTCAACCAACCGTCTTAGGGACTCTACTCTGGATTTGTGTAGGGTTGTGTAGGCACATTCACACACCTTTTTTCCCTGCTCTGACTGGCAGCGGCTCGGGCTGTCCTCTTTTTTGCTCTTCAAGATATGGCAACCCTAATGCCAGTACTATAGAGAATGATTGCTAAATCCGTTGAACAATCTGCTCTGAAGATACGCTCTGTCACAGGGATAGAGAACCGATGTCACTCAAATCTTGTTAGAACACAACTCCCATCAGCTGCAGTCTGCATGGCCAATGGCCAGGGATGATGGGAATTGGAGTCTGGTACCTTCTGGAGGGCCACAAGAACCCCATCCCTGTCATGTTAGGATTCAGGAATGAAGAAGAGGCTGGATGAAGGAGAGCAGGATCATGAGGAGAGACAATGTAATAATATTCACACAGCAAAGAGTACACAAGCAAGAACCAGGGGAGGCAGAGGTGGTGTGGTGGACCAACTGAACGGATGGAAGGGAAGGAAGTGGCATGACAAGATGAGGATAGTTTGGCAGGTGGCATGGAGCTGAGAGTGGAAGGTCAACAGAAGAGGGGCACAAGTTGGAGTATATGGAGGGCAACCCAAAAGCCAATGATCAGAAGCAAAGATTTGGTGATTTCTGCACGTAAAAATGCTTCTGCTCATTGCTCTGTGGATTTCTACTGCATATGTAGCCAACCTGTGGCACAGGAAGTGGACTCATCATGGCGACATCGGCTTGTCTCTCTCCCTGATAGCAGCAGCTGATGTTTTGGAGTGGAAGCACTTGCCCATGCTAGGTCTGGGGGAGGTGGATGTGGTTTTTGAGGAACAGCCTTGTTATGTACTGAGTTGAATAGTATCCAAAATGCAGCAGTCTGATTGGTCCTAGAACAACAGGATTCAGAATGCAGCAGTCCGATTGGTCCACAGGAGCCACCCAATCCAGCTCCAGGTGGAAGTGAATCCGCAACCTGATTGGACTACAGGAGCATCCCGGAATTGGCCAGTCACGTGGGGCCCATTGTGTAAATAATGTATATAAAGCAGACATTCTGGGGGAACTTCCATTCCTCCTCACCACTATGAGCTGAATAAAGAGCATGAAATCCACTCTGGACTCCGAGTATATTTCAAGCCTCATGGGCCAAATCTTGTTCACGGTCTGGAGATTCCCAATCCCTGCTATAGAGAGGAAACGGAAGCTTTATTCGAATGTTACAGCAACAGGGTATGAGGCTGCCACAAATGTCTGTACACAGTGAGCCAACATGGAGCAGCTACACCATCGTGTGGAATCTCAACCACAGGGAAGCATTTGGGGCAATCACGCCAGATGGGCTGAAAAGGAGGCAGGCTAGTGAAGGACTTACATACCACAGAATAAGGGGAACGATGGAATTCCCAGCCAGCTGGGCAAGGCCGAGGCCGTGCCAGCTCCTTCAACCTGGGTGATGCCTGCGCCCTCAGAGCTGCTTCTGTCACGAACCATTCAGCGGTGGGCCTGGGTTTGCCAACAAAAGGAAAACAGCAGCAACGCATGAGACACTATGTCTCTCTCAGAAATCTAATAAAATTGATGGCAGGAAACGTAAGGCATATTAAAGGAAATAGTTCATAGCCTGTGGAACAGCTTGCCACATGGTTTTGCAATGCCTGCAATATAAATGCTTCCCCCCTCCTTTTAAAAGAACTAGATCAGTGGTGTGGAATCTCCCCAGCCTACAGCACAGATAAGGCCCACATCAAGATTTGATCTAGCTCTCTGGGTCTCCTCCTACACACACCAGCTATTTAGTGGCCGAGGAAGAAATCATACAGTTGCAGCTCCTATCTCTGCAAGAAGATCAAAGTCTAGGAGGAAATGTCTCAAGAGACTTGTGTTCCTTGACAAATGGTGTCACTGCATTTTGCAGTTGCGTGCCTGCAATTTTCAGGATGCAATTGCATTTTGAGGCTGGGGGCTTTGAATAGCTGTAAGGCAGAGCCTGCAGTTCAGTTTTGTACAGATGTTATTTACATGTTATTTGCTTTCTTTGGCTGTGATTACTGAATTCTTGTTGACTTTTGTACAGTCGGTACAGATAAAGGACAGATAACATTGTTTAGTTATTGCATCTTAGGGCCCAACTCCAGACCCTCCAAGTGTAGGGTTGCAATACTCCCAAAAGTGAAAATCTGGACAAAGTTGTTGACAGAAGCCGTCCTGGTTTCTGATTTGATCCCAGAATGTCCCATTTTCCTTAGGGTGTCCCTATTTTCATTGGAGAAATATTGGAGGGTATAGCGCTATCCAATCCCTGAAGGCAATCCTGTACAGTATAGGGAAGGGTTTTTTTAATGTTTAATGTTCTGTTATGTTTTAATATACATTGGAAGCTGCCCAGAGTGGCTGGGGCAACCCAGTAAGATGTGTGGGGTATAAATAGTAAAATGATCATTATGGAATGGGACGTCCCTATTTTCACAGGAGAAATGTTGGAGGGTGTGCATCTAGTCCGAAGCAGCCTTGAAATGATTGTTTGCATCTACTGCTCATGCGTTTTATAATACAGGTAAGGTAACAGGCAATAGCAGCCTCTGGAAGGGCTGATAATTGTAAGATCACTGCAGGCAAGGAGGGAGGGGGAATCAACTGTATTCTCCCCTGATGCAGTCCTGTCCAAAATCAATTTTCATCAGAAAAATGTTGGAGGGTAAGCAGCTCCCATCACTGCTCTAGCCTCCCCAGCTCCTGAACAAGAACCCTGGACTGTAATGCACACATTCTAGGTGTGGATTTGGATACCGCCAGCTATGGCCCTACAATGGTGAAATCACAGGACTGTTTCGTACTGGGGGAAACCACAATCACCAGACTTATTGCCCTGCCAGGCTTTGATTCTCCTGAGCTTTTTAGGCGCATTTTTCCTCCTGCTGTATTATGCTGCTTTTTGTGGTTTTTAGTTTATAGTTAGTATTGCACTTACATTTTAACTCCTTCATTCCTTCTGGTAAACCACCCTGGAGAACTCATTGAAGGGTGGCATAAAAAACACAAAGATCTAAAGGACAGCGAATCTTGCTCTGAAACTGTGTTGCAACATAATAAAATTGGTTGTCCAGCTTTAGCATGCCGTTCCCTTTCTCATATATGTGCATACTGAGTTAATTCGGTCATTGTAAACAAATCCGTCAATCCAGGGTGGATTTTTATTTGTCTGAAGTCTGGTCACTTTATTCCTCACCTGTCTGCTTTATAACGTGGATGTACGGTTTTGCATTTAGCCAGCTCTTCTAGCCTAGGAGTTAAGACTGAAGAGAAGTATTTAAATATATTTACATGTATTTGTGTTAGTGGGCCTTTTATATATAAAGTTTTATTAAGACTTTTCACAATACAATAAAACAACAAACTAATCTAAACAAAAAAAAGAAGAGAGAGAAAGAGGGAGGGAGGGAGAGAGAAATACTATCTCACCAGTATATCCTAATTTTTATCCCATACGGAGAAGGATGCACCCTCCCATCTCTCACCTTGCAGCATCTCTTTCCTTCCCCTGCCTCTCGCCCTGGGAGACCCTCCCTTCCCTGCCTCTCACACAGGGTCTTTCACCCACCGTCCAACATCTTCATCTGCCTGCAATTTTACCAAAACACAGTAACAGAGAATATTAAAGTCAGAGAGAATATTAAAGGAAATATCTTAGTGGTTTGTCATTCCCAGTGCCTGAGGCAACGTCACCATCTCTCTTCATTAGATAACGTACCCCTTCTCCTTCAAGAGCCAGGGCTTGCTTGCCCACATTTGTCTTGCACATATAATACCTGGGTCCAAGTGGTTTCCCACTTGACCTATGCTTTTGAGACATGGGTCTGAGTGGTTTTCCCCTTGCCTGGCCGCTTTCCCAGAGTAAACTCATCCTTTAGTGATATATAGGAGCAAATGTCAATCTGGAGAAAACCGAAATTGCTGTTTGGTCCAATTGAGCACTAAAGAGCGGTTTTCCCTGGGAGAAAGCAGCAAGGCACGAGGAAGTGTGGATAAACAGTGCCCATTTAAATAGTGCCCATCAATCCAGCAAGTTAAATTTCCACTGTCTGCGATGGTAGAAATAAGGCAGGCCAGAATCCTCATCACACACGGCCCTGGCTTTGTTCTACGAAGCCCTATCAAATTTCTACCTCTGCCTCTGCCTTTCTCCTTCTCTTAAAAAACACCCTAGGCAGCAATGGGAAATGGAAAAGGACTTGCCTTAAAGTAGGCTAGGATTCAGTAAATGTTCCAAAAGCAAGGATGGGGAACCTGCAGAACTCCAGATGCGGCTGGATGAAAATTCCCACCTGCCCCTATCAGCATGGCCAATGGTCAGTCATGACAGGAGTTGTCACCCAAGAACATCTGAAAAAGCACAGGTTCTTGGCCCCTCTTCTAAAGCATCAGAGCCAGAATGAGCCTCAGAGGGTGGCAAGGCTGAGGATTTGCCAAAGCCCAAGGCCAGCTGAGGATCCACTGTGCTAAAAACAACACTGCTGTTTCCACTTTACACAGAGTAGCCAAAGTACTAGCTCTCCTGGGATAAAGGGTAGCACAGAGGTTACCATGCCCCAAACCGCCACCCCCACCCACCCAAATTCTGTTGTCAGCACTGATCAGAGCACAAATACTTGACAACTTGCCTGGGACTGTGCCTCTACGTTCTGATGTATGCCTAGGGAGAGACAGGGGGCGGGGAGAGTGTGTTAAAAGCATTGGCAAAATCACTCCTGTCTCTGTGCCCAGCTCTGATATTCTTCTAGGCAGATCTACACTAAAACACGTATCTGTTTTATACTGGTTTAAAACAACAGGCTGTTTCTGAGATGAATTGCTGCATTTCCTCCCCCCTCCCCTTAGCAGTGGCAATGCTTTATGGTGGAAATTTTCGTGCTGGCAGATCTACTAAATCAAATAGTTTCCCGCAGCTTTGCAGCATATAGAAATAAATAAACTGGCTAACTAATGCACAGTGAAATCTGAGACCACAAACGACTTATCCACGCTTACCTTTCCCTCTGCTATTTCCCGGCAGAGGTGTGCACTCTGTGTCTGAGCATTTTTATTCTGCCCCCAGATTTCCCTTCCAAAACCCACTCTTGAAAGCTTAATCTGAGCAAACGTCAATTCGGATTTTATGAGGATTACCATTTGCGCCAGTTGAGCTTTAAAGAGTGGAGGGTTTTTTGCAAGGAAAGCTCTGGAGCAAAAAACAACCCAAAGCTTTAAATTGTAGACCATGGCTAGACAGAGCAGAGGAAAGGTAAGTTGTAAGTAAGTTTGATTTAATACAAACATGACATTTCACCCCAACACCAATGAGCATTGATATTGGGACAAAGGACAACAGACGTAGTTCTTACCTCTTAAATTGTTGGTTATCTTGCACCTGGCCAAGCATGTTGATCCAATCCTCCGTCCTCTAATCCCATTTCAAAGGTATGCGTTGCCAGAGCAACCAGCTCTGGAAACGGTGTTCTTTCTAGGAATCACAATTATGTTTCCAGCCAGGTGGTGAATTTCGGCATCTAGATGTCTTGGGGACGGCTAGGATTTTGGCCTGAGACTTTGTTTTCAGAGGGCCATCTTCAGCCCTCAGGGCAAGCGGCCCCAAGATCTCAAGTTTCTGAGGGCCTTCCTTGGGTGAGAGTGAGGAAAGAAAGGGGAGAGTTTATATAAGAAGGAAGGTTTTGAAAAAGTAATATATAAGTCTACTCACTAAAAAAGTATTCCATACTCCACAACTGTCCTGGGAAAACCGGGACATCCCATTTTTTCATGTGAGAGCCAGCAGCCATTTTGGATGCCGCAATCTCACACCCCAAAAGTGCTTTTTTCAAGGCCATGATCTCATACAGCACCCCCAAATGTGTGTTTTTGGGTGCTGTGCTCTCATGGAAGCACACAGTCCTGAAAAAAAGCACTTTTGGTGGGGCTGCAATCTCACGCAGGTCATGTGACTTGCTCAGAAGCCATGCGGCCTGGTTTTGGGCCTGGACATGTTGGAGGGTGTGATATTCTGATGTGTCGCCAGGTGCTAGATAGATTTAGCTTACGTTGTTGTTTTTCTTAGTAAAAAGAGTCCTGTTGCATCAGACCAAAAGGCTATCTTAGTGCAGCATCCTGTGCTCAAAGCGGTCAATCATATACCAATGAGAAGCCAAAAACAGGAGCTGAGTGCTCTCCCCACCTGCAATTCCCGTCAACTGGTGCAGAAACATTACTGCCTTCAACAGTGGAGGCAAAATATACCCTCCACGGACAGGTACCCACCGATAGCCTTATCCTCCTGGATTTGTCTAAACCAGGGGTAGTCAACCTTTTTATACCTACCGCCCACTAATGCATCTTTCTTGATGGTAAAATTTCCTTACCGCCCACCAGTGCTCGATGGAAGGAGGATTCAGCTTGTGCCATAGAACCCCCTACCGCCCACCTAGAATCCTGAAACACCCACTAGTGGGCGGTAGGGACCAGGTTGACAACCCCGGTCTAAACCTTTTTCAAAGCCAACCAAGCTGATGGCCATGACTACACCTTGCGACAGCAAATTGCAGCATTTACCTGTGTTTTGTGTGAAGAAGTACTGCCTTTTGTTCATCCTGAAACTCCCACCATTCAAGCTTCATTGGATGGCCCCAAGTTCAAGTATTATGAAGAATAAAATCTCTGTCCAATACTCCACATCATGCGTAATACCATACAATTCTATCATGCCTCCCTTTACTCGGTTATTTTCAAAACTAAAAAGTCACAACCTTTCCTCATAAGAGAGTTGTTCCAGTCCCATGATCATTTTGGCTGCCCTTCCATGACCATCTTCAATATATTCATACCAAGAATGGGAAAGACCTACAAACTTATAGCAAACATAACTGTTAATCATAATAACATATTTTCTGTATTTACAATCTGATTACTTTGGAAAGGCTATCGGTTTGTTTGTTTGTTTGTTTGTTTGTTTGTTTGTTTGTTTGTTTGTTTGTTTTAAAGGTGGCTAGCACCATATTAAGGGACGCGGGTGGCGCTGTGGGTTAACCACAGAGCCAAGGGCTTGCTGATCAGAAGGTCGGCAGTTCAAATCCCTGTGACAGGGTGAGCTCCCGTTGCTCGGTCCCTTCTCCTGCCAACCTAGCAGTTCGAAAGCACGTCAAAGTGCAAGTAGATAAATAGGTACCACTCCGGCGGGAAGGTAAACAGCGTTTCCGTGCGCTGCTCTGGTTCTCCAGAAGCGGCTTAGTCATGCTGGCCACATGACCCGGAAGCTGTACGCCGGCTCCCTCGGCCAATAAAGCGAGATGAGCGCCGCAACCCCAGAGTCGGTCACGACTGGACCTAATGGTCAGGGGTCCCTTTACCTTTACTAGCACCATATTGGCAGGTGAAAATGTCCAAACTTTAAACCTTCCTTTTTTCATAAATTAAAAAGTCAGTATCCTCCAAAGTCAATTTGGAGAATACCGACAGGGAAAGGTTCTGGCAAGTCATCCCCGCCAACGTAGATTTGTGGATTTAGCAGCACATCTCTGCCCTGCTTCCCAGCCTGCAACAGGGGATGCTATTCCACCTCTCCCTCTCTGCCTTTGACTCCTTCTTGGATGCTTTCTGCTGCTTATTACCCACCCCCACCGCTGATACCAACCTGTCCCAAGTCTCCACATGATTCAATAGAACACAGCGATGCAAACAGCTGTTGCCATGGGGACTGTGACCACATCTTCTGTTGCTGGGGGAGCTCCTGCAGACCTAATGTCTAGGCTGCACTCTAGGAACAGCCAAAGGGGCATAAGGATGTAGTAAGAGAGACTAAATTAGGGCCATTGAATCAAACACCCTGCTCTCCATAATGGCCAACCAGATGCCTTCTAGGAGAGGCCCACATGGTGGACATGGGAACAGAAGCCCTTCTCTGCTGGTGTGCCATCAAAATACCTCTGGAAGTAAAAGCTTTTATTGAACTGTATCAAAGGTGAGCGGGTTCTGAAGGAAAAGACCCCTCAAAGGGGTTGGCCAACTGTCCAGGTCCAGACTCTGCCTGGGAAAGCAGCATAACAGACAACAGACCGGCGGGTGTTGACACGCTTCCCCCCATTCCCATGGCTTCACCTGTTAATAACTGACCTAGTTTCCACATCATGTTAAGCCAAACCATAGTTTATAGTGAACGTGCAAGTGCGTGGGCTCTGCAAGATGAGATTGTGGCTGCTTTGCTCCTCCCTGGTCATTCTGTTGCTGCACCGTGCTGTGTTAAGCCATGGTCTTGCTTAATGTGTCATCTGAACCTGGTTTAGCTCTGCAGGACAAAACCATGAGTCATAAACCACAGGACAATTCGTGAATAAAACACATGGTTAGTTTTGAGAAAGCAAAACCATGAACACAGGTTCAGATGACACCCTAAGTTAGCACTTGCAGAATTAAACATTCTTACACCTTGCTTCACCTTGGTCTCCTAATGTTAGAATGCCAGGGTTGAGGTGGAGAGACTCTCTGAGAATATGTATGCTATTGTTTGCAAGTATATTCCTGTTAGGAGAGAATATATTTGAGAACTTTCCTCCAGAATTATTCCAGCGCTGATTTATATAACCAAGGTCTGCATAATAAAGGTTCGACTGTGATCATGCCCTTCAGGGCTTTCCTTCATGAAGAACATGTCATAAACATTCGTTTTCTTGTAGCAGTGAAACAAAAATAGTCACGGCGACTGATATGCCACGGAACGCCCTGCCATGCTCCGAGCAGTGCATCCACCCACTTGCATGCTTCGAGAGCAGGAGCACACCCTCCTGTCGCCTTCTGTATTCCCCTGAGAGACAAAGATGGAAGAGACAACTGAGGAAATTAAGGTAGACAGCTCAGAGATACACATACACTCTGACATACAATGCAGAAGAAGACAAACTCACAAGGAAAACTCACACAGCCCATTAAAGATGGTATCATCAGTGTGTTTGCACTGTATACTTATCCCCACTCCCTCCAAATGATGACTATTCATAGCACTGTTTCTCGTCTTCAGTGTGGGCCATACCAAAGCCAGTTATAGAGCAGTCTAGGAAAGAGTCCTGACATTGTTAAATGGAAAACGAGCGAGGTCCCAACCAAAGAAGAATAGCAACTTAAATTGACAGAATATGCGCAGCTTGCAGACTTAACAAATAAAATAAGAGAACAAGAAGAACATACGTTTAGAGAAGATTGGAAAATGTTTATTGAATATAACTGTGTACAGCTGAGGACACTGGCAACATTAAGATAAATTCAACAGTGTAAATAAGTTTTGATGGATGTAATAATGGAATACTGAACGGTATAGTTTTTGTAAAATATGCAGGGATTTATGATATGTAGAATGAACCATGGAAAGAGAAGAGAGGAAGTCACTGATATCTTAAGGATGTAAAAATGAGTATTTTAAATTGAAAAACAGAAAATAATAATAATAAATATTTATAAAAAAAGAGTACTGACATTGTTCTCATAGCCCTTGGCCAATTGACACCTACACTGCAGCATCCAAGGAGGGAAGCTAAAAATTATTAGGGTGAATTCACAGAATCATTCTCCCACCATTTGGAGAACTGTGCCCGTCACACCGTATACAAAAGACACACAAAGGAAATTAGTAAAGAGAAGTGCATTGGAATAAAATGAATAGCAATAATAATCATCATCACTAAGCTAGGGTGTATGATATAGAGGATAGATACTGTAGAAGCAGGAAAGGGAAGGAAAAAGAAAGGGGGAAAGAAGAGAGAAAAGAAAAAGAGAAGGAAAGAAGAAAAGGAGGGGAAGTGAGAGGGAGAGTCCCCTACACCACTGTATATTTATTGACCCCATGAGGTGTCTGGTCATCAAATAGGAAAATGCCCAAGAATTCATGGCCAGCCACTCCATGAAGCCCTGAAGGCTGAAAACCAAACCTTAGTGTTATAGTGAGAATCAAGGAGCGATTATTGTTCCATGCTTTCCTTCCACCTCCCCTATTCTCTAAATCTCCCTATCTACCTGCCATCATGTCCAAACCTGTGTCATTTGCACCTAAGCATCCCCTCAGGGCTTGTACAGCTCCATTCCAGCCTGCCAAATCCTCAGCACCACTCCTCGCCCCTTATACAGTGACAGTAATATTATTCACCTGTCTGTCTCAGTCTCTTTCATAGTTAAGCATAAATCGGCGGTCCAGGAAATGTGGGTTAGGGCAGCTTGCATAAATTTGTACTTGAGCAGCTAACCATCTTATTCTTCTGCAAACATTGCATTTGGTGTTTCAAGCCGCAAAGCTATTTTTGCTCTCTGGCCACCATTTCCACTCTGCACACAGATTAAACTTTCCAATCTGAAGCCAAATTGGGAATCAATGGCTCTTGCTAATTCCCCCAAGGAATGTACGCAATTATAGTACTCTTCCATATCATCCTTAAATGCAAAATGGCTCTGGATTAAGGTTTGGGGGGGGGATCATGCCTCCATGTGTGTGATCTTCACATGTGTTGGATAATTAGGGACACAAAAGAGGCTTAGTGACAAATTGTGCTATTAAACATGCTAATATCGCCCAATATGGGTGTGCAAACTCAATATAGTGTGCATTCCAACTTCAAATTAGAGGTGTTGGTTGAAAAATAGACCATAAAAGGAATTCTAACCAAAAGTGCAGAGTTCTTAGAATTAGTCTGAAAATAACCAACACAAGCAATTAGTGGTGACTTTTCCGCACAATTTTTTGGTGTCAGATTGGTGCAGCGCTCTTACCTTCAGTTTATAGAGAGAGAAAATAAAAAGCAGGCTGGTGTGTGCTTATGAAACAGGTGTCACAAGCTTCATCGCACTGCAAGGCACAAAATCCATATGTCACTCCTGGGCGGGTGCGCACATTTTAAATTAATGCAGACTGCCGCTTCGCTGAAGATTTCCCATGACTGCCATTTCCGATTGCTTTTGTTCCGCTGAGAGTGGGACTCTGTAGTTCAGCCCTTGCCAGAGAAACGAGTCCTTTTTCTTCTTCTTTTTTCTTTACTATATTTAAAATCCTTCAGGCAAGCTTTTTATAGTTGCTTTGATTTCCCCGACGGGCGATTTTCAGCCAACTAAACAAGTGATATACAACAGCGTATAGAACAGATGCATGTAGCCACCAGAATAAAAGGCACAGGGTTCGTTGCTATGTAATCGGATGAATTCTTGGACTCCCCACCACCACCACCACCAAAGCGATACATTCAGCATGTTAAAATCACAAGAACTTCACAGGAAAGTTTGATTGCAACGGATAGATTTTGTGGAAATGTTACCAGGATGCTTGGTTAAATAAATGCATTTGAAATGTCTGGCACAAATGAATTTTACAATAGAGGAATAGTCCATTGGTGACATTGTGTATATGTGTGTGTGTAGGGCAACTCCTTTGCCCCCCATATAATATTTTGGGGGCTGTCCCCTCCCAAAGTTGATGGGTATTGCCATTCAAATGGTGTGCATGTGCGGCATCATGTGATCAATTATGCAGGGTGGGGCTTACTCAGGTCCCCTCAATATTTTATTCAAGTTGGCAGCCCTGTGTGTGTATATATGTGTGTGTACACACAAACACACACACACACAGTTCCATAGTTGAACAAGAATTTGAACCCAAGCCTGCCATGCCTTTACCCAGCAGTCTACATCCCTTTGATTGAACCCAATAGAGTGGAAGTACCATAGATCTGAAGCACATTACATTTTGCTAATTTTGAGAGAATACACTTATTAAGTTCACAAATTAACCTCTACAGTGATTTGGTACGGAGGTCCAGAAAGCAAATAGCATACAAGCGTTAACTGGACTTTGTAATGACCTGCAAATGTAATGACTTGCAGATTATAAGCTTCAAGTGTTTTACCGTCCAGAGCCTGACCTGAGGCAGCTTTTACTGTGACCCCATCCTCCACAGAAATGTTTTCATCTCAAATACAGTCTGCCAACAGGCTATGAAGGGTAATCTGGGTGGTGGTAGATTCATGAAATATCAGAGAACTGAAACCAAAAATCTATGGCCTCTGCCTTGTCAATTCATACTATGTCATTGCTTCATAGCCCCTTCCCTTTCTTTCCATGTCTGGCCAAAAAAGCCCATATATGTTGCACATCAGAAGTGACAAGGCTGTAAATTATTTCCCCCTTTTTCAGAGATTATCTCTGTGTAGGAAGTTATGGGTTCTATGCAATGTAGGCCTAAGGAACTCGTTCTGTGAATGCAAATATCTGCCCTTGCATAATGGAAATTCTCTTCTCCTCTCCCCCTGCTCACCTCATGCCCTCCCCAGATCTGTTTTGAAGGGTTGAGGGAAACCCCATAACATATTTAGGAGGTGCACAGGGCAGAGGGGAGGGGAGGAAGCACCACTGCACAAGGGCGAATCCTTGTGCTGATGGAACACCCTAGTTGCATACCACTCTACGTGTGCATTGTTGTGTTGTTGGCTGCTTTGACAGAATTCAGCCTTCAGCTGGGAGGTGAACTGAAAGGAGAGAAAAACTGGTAGAGGATCAGACGTGTTTTTATTGTGGGATCAGTGCTCCTCACACATGAAAGACTTTTGCAGCATCCACATAACACCGTTGGCATGAAAATGCCATACGCTTCTCTCCACCCACCCAATTTAATCCAGATTTACCCTTTCCAGGGGATATCTGATACATCTGTTGCCAGGAACCCATTTATGATATCTGCATGGCCCATTTACAATATCAAGGCCTTACCTGGAAGAACCCTAATTGGTAGAAGGAACTCAAGCGGCCCATCTCCCTTCCCTGGAACAGCTTTGAGGTTTTATTTGCAATTAAGCAGGATGCAGGTTCTGTTAAATTAATGGGTGCAAATGCCAGGGAAAGCATTATTCTAGCCCAGGGCAAGGATGGCAGAGTCAATGGAAGAAACCATAAATAATGGTTTTAACTTTGGAAAGGCGGCATACAAATAAAACGATTGATTGGTTATTGTGTTTATTTGTTGCTTATTACAAAAATAACTCAAAGTGACTTATATTTATAAAAGTATACATGGTACGCAATTTAAAATAAACCAGAGATAAAATAATGTTAATTGGCTGAAAGTGTTGATTCTGCAGTAACATAAAAAGGGGGAATTCTGCCTTACCCCACTCAAAGATGAACACCAATACAGTAGAAGCTTGTATATCCACCAATTAAGAATCAAACACTTTGGGTGAACAGGAGCATCTTTTGCTTGGCACCTAAAAGCTGATAATGATGGTACCAGGCACATCTCTCTGAAGACAGCATTCTACAGTTGGGGAGCCACCACTGAAAAGTCCTATTCTTATTTTGCCACCCTCTGGACCTCATTGCAAGAAGGAACACGGATGCACACAATGGTACCTTGCTGCTCTTTAATTCTGCCATTTTTTCAAAGCCACTTTTTTTTGTAGCCTGGTTCCAACCGATGGGCCTACAAGCCTGAAGAAGAAGCAAAGCAGATCCTGCTCCCCCCTCTGTTGCTCATGTCTGCCCTAGGCAGGGAAGGATGAGAGAGTGCTGGAAGTGAGCTGCACCTACAAACTACTTTTCCCGCCGACGTCTCTTTTTCATTTCTGGAGGGTGGGGGGCAGCTGTAGCTATTCAAAGGGAAAGGAAGGCACTCTGCACATGCCCAAGGTCACCTTCCCAGGAATCACTGCATCATACATGACTGAAGGAGCAGCTGCCTCCTGACCAGTTTATGGCAGAGGCTATTTCTCCAAACCTAGACAGCATCTTAAAAAGCAGAGACATCGCCTTGCCGACAAAGGTCCGTATAGTTAAAGCTATGGTTTTACCACTAGTGATGTATGGAAGTGAGAGCTGGACCATAAAGAAGGCTGATTGCTGAAGAATTGATGCTTTTGAATTATGGTGCTGGAGGAGACTCTTGAGAGTCCCATGGACTGCAAGAAGATCAAACCTATCCATTCTTAGGGAAATCAGCCCTGAGTAAAGCTGAGGCTCCAATACTTTGGCCACCTCATGAGAAGAGAAGACTCCCTGGAAAAGACCCTGATGTTGGGAAAGATGGCAGGCACAAGGAGAAGGGAACGACAGAGGATGAGATGGTTGGATAGTGTTCTCGAAGCTACCAGCATGAGTTTGACCAAACTGTGGGAGGCAGTGGAAGACAGGAGTGCCTGGTGTGCTCTGGTCCATGGGGTCACGAAGAGTCGGACACGACTAAACGACTAAACAACAACAACAATTTCTCGAGGCAGAGGGATGAGGGTCTGAAGCAAGAGCAGCAGGGCCGGCTCTTAGAAGCAGCGGTGAGAAGGGAGGCGGCAGGGAGAGCCAGTGTGGTGTACTGGTTAGAGCGCTAGACTAACGCCTGGGAGACGCCGGTTCTAATCCCCACTCGGGGCCTAAGCCGTTGGAGAAAAAGCGGGATAAAAAAGCAGAACATAAAATGTGGCCGGAGCAGACTAGGGAATCGAGGCAGGAGAAACGTCGGCCGGGTCCAAAGCGCCCAAAGGCGGCGCTTGCGCACTGGAGAGCAGCAGGTGTCTACCAACGCGCCGCCTCTGCGGAGCCGCCAGCCGGCCTTTTCCGCCACGCGGCTCACGTGGTGCCCCGCTCGGCGGGAGAGAGAAAGAGGCGCGCCTTCTCCTTTCCCGCGCGTGCTCGCGCCCCCTCCTCCTCCGCTCCCCGCCCCTAGATGCGCCAGGCGGCCGCGTGCACGGAGAGGGGGGCGCTTCCCACCTGCGCTCCTTCTCTCTGCAAAGCCCCGAGCCTGGAGCTGGCGCGGCGACGGCTGCCTGCCTCCCTCCTTGCCTGCCTGCCTTCCACTTGCCTGCGCCGCGCAAACAATGAGCATGCATGAAGCGGCGGCGGCGGCGGCAGCAAGACTAGCTGCGTAGAAAGGAAGCGGGGATCCTCCTCCTCCTCTTCTTCCAGAGGAGAAGCCAAGGTGACCACCGCGCAAGAGGGCTCGTCTCGCTCTCCTGACTGTGTTGTGATCATATCTGTGTGTCTGTGTGCCATCCATCTCCTCCATGCGTCTGCCCGGGTGGGGAGGTTATGCCGATAGCCGCCCCCGTCACCCTGCACGACATTTTCTCTCCCCCCCCTTTATGTTTACCTGCCCCCCCCCCCTCCTCACTCCGGTTTCCCTCGCTGCCAAGGTTTTGCAGCATCAGTGCCTCCAAGATCTATTTAAGCTCTGGATGCTGATAGGCTGCCCTCCCCACTGGATTGGGACTTGCGAGACTTCTTTTCTTCTTTTAAATCGATTATATTTCAGGGCTCGCTGGTAATAAGCTCTCATGCCTGTTTGCAAGGTTACAGATTAACTAATTGCTCCGAAATGGTGGATGTGGATTTTTTATGCTTCGAGCACCATGCTGCTTTTCGGTCTTTAAATAAAACTTGGGTGTCGTCTACGTGCGTGTGCTTTTAAAATCCTTATCTCCAACAGCTCTAGCCGTCGTATCGCATTTTATTATCGAGGGCAGGACCCTATAGCTCCGATACATGCAATTGTCCTTAATTATTTTGATATGAAGGAGCAGGTGGGGGCAAGTGTTGCTCTGATCTCGTTTGCCTTCTTTTCATTTTCCTTTGAAATCCTGTTTCAAATCCATTGTGTTTCCTCTCACCACCCACATTTTGTACAGTCATGTTTATGTAATGGGTGCCTGCCCCGTAGATTTAGGCTGTTTTACGGCAGGTGGGGGAGGGAGGGGGCTATTTTTTATTTTATTATTTTTGCATGCTCCTTTAAAAGTGCTGTTTATCTGAGCAATAAAATGAAAAAATTGTCTTTTCGTTGAAGAGGACGGGTTTAAATATGAACGAAGACCCAACGGTTAATTTAACGTGGCTGCCTCCGGATCACTTAGAAGCCAGTCCGGCAGAGAATGTCACGACTGCAGTCACCTCCCTGATTCCTGCCGGTGACCCAGAGCCAGAGTTCATAGTAAACCCCTGGGATATTGTCTTGTGCACTTCAGGAACCCTTATCTCCTGTGAAAATGCCGTGGTGGTCCTTATTATCTTCCATAATCCTAGTCTCCGTGCCCCTATGTTCCTCCTGATAGGAAGCCTGGCCTTGGCTGATCTCTTGGCAGGGATTGGATTGATCTTCAATTTTATCTTTGCCTACCTTCTCCAGTCGGAATCTACCAAGCTGGTCACGGTTGGACTGATCGTTGCCTCTTTCTCTGCCTCTGTCTGCAGCTTGCTGGCTATCACGGTTGACCGTTACCTCTCCCTCTATTATGCTTTGACTTACAATTCGGAGAGGACTGTCACTTTCACCTATATCATGCTGGTTCTGCTCTGGGGAGCTTCCATTTGTATCGGGCTGCTACCTATAATGGGCTGGAACTGCCTGAAAGACGAGTCCACCTGCAGTGTGATCCGGCCGCTCACTAAAAATAACGCGGCCATCCTTTCTGTCTCTTTCTTGCTCATGTTTGCTCTCATGCTCCAGCTGTACATTCAGATCTGCAAAATCGTGATGCGCCATGCCCATCAGATCGCCTTGCAGCACCACTTCCTGGCCACTTCCCACTATGTGACGACCCGGAAAGGAGTGTCCACCTTAGCCATTATCCTGGGGACCTTTGCCGCTTGCTGGATGCCTTTCACACTCTATTCCTTAATAGCCGACTACACCTATCCTTCAATATACACCTACGCGACTCTCCTCCCGGCCACGTACAATTCCATCATCAACCCTGTAATATATGCTTTCCGAAACCAAGAAATCCAAAAGGCACTTTGGCTCATTTGCTGCGGCTGCATTCCTTCCAACCTTTCGGCACGGGCGAGATCTCCGAGCGATGTTTGATTAAGAGAGAGGACGGACGTTCATTTAGCGTTGTGTTACATGGCTTTGCTGCTTTCATTGCATTGTACATAACAGATTCACACTCGAGCCACAGGGAGTATTGACCTTTTTTAAAGAAAGGGAGGAAAGGAAAGGAAAACCCTGTTGACCCAAATAAACCATGTTGTGCAGTTTCAGGGTCATGCCTAAAAGTGAAATCACCTCTTTGCCAACTTTTGAGTGTTGCTTATATTCTGCTTTTGTCGGGGATGGGGAACTAATTCTCTTAGATCCAACTATTTCTCCCAGGCTTCACCGTATCAGTTGAGAGGGGATGTTAGATGTAGATCTGATTTCTCCCTATGAGAGAAAGTTGCCCATGTGCACCACTTGCAACAACCCACTTGCACCAAAATGTAGGACGAGGTACACATAGAGTTCCTGTTCAGGAGCAAGCAAGTCCACAACCCAACTTACTTGGGAAACAATTTCATTAACTTTAATAAGACTAGGTAAAGGTAAAGGGACCCCTGACCATTAGGTCCAGTCATGGACGACTCTGGGGTTGTGGTGCTCATCTCGCTTTACTGGCTGAGGGAGTCGGTGTACAGCTTCCGGGTCATGTGGCCAGCATGACTAAGCTGCTTCTGGCGAACCAGAGCAGCTCATGGAAACGCCATTTACCTTCCTGACAGAGCGGTACCTATTTATCTACTTGCACTTTGGTGTGCTTTCGAACTGCTAGGTTGGCAGGAGTAGGGACTGAGCAATGGGAGCTCACCCCGTCACGGGGATTTGAACCGCCGACCTTCTGATTGGCAAGCCCTAGGCTCTGTGGTTTAACCCACAGCATCACCCACGTCTTAATAAGACTAGTCCAGAGTAAATGGGTTGTGAATTCGTCTCTCTCTTTATTGTTTCTGATGTATTTTAGAGACACAGATCTACAGACTTGCATTTTAGCACACAAGCAAATGACATTCAAGGAGAGTTACACATGAGGTGGGCTGTGGTCAAGAGATAGTCATCCACTACAGGAACTAGTGGCTTGAGATACCAGACCGGGGTGTACACAGTGGCCTGCAGCGGTGCTGAGATTTCATCACCACACAGTTTCATGTGGATGCCTACATAGGATGACTTCCTTCCAGATCTTGGTGTTGGAGGAAGGACATGCCAATGTATATCCACATCAGAGGCATGTGTTTGGTTCCTGTTCTATCAAGGGAAGCCGTGCAGAGAAGTTTGCCTAAAATGTGACCTCAGAAGTTACACCGTTTCCCATAAATCTCTAAATGAGCAAAAAATTAGTCTTTTCCCCAGTTGTTTATGCAACTGAGACCAGTTATGCTGCTTTTTTCTTTTTAGTATTAAGAAAAACCCCATCCCTTTTGGTCTTCAACCCAGTTCACATATAAGAGTAAGCTAAACCATGGGTTATTGTAAGTATGCAGGTTCCCAGAGAAGAGATGGTAGCTGTTGTGCTCCTCTTCTGGTCCTCCTCCTGCTGCATTGCCAAGAGCTAAGCCATGGTTTGGCTTAGCATGTCATCTGAACCCTGGAGTTGAGGTTTGTCCTGCTTCAGGCAAACCATTAGTTTGAACCAGTGCTTTCCCCCCCTAGAAAAATAGATGCCGGTACTCACCATGAAGTCGTTACAGTAAGTGCCACACTTTTTAACAACAACAACAGATGTGCCGGTACTGTGTACCGTTGAGTACCCCCTGGGGGAAAGCACTGGTTTTAAGTATTATTTCTTTTTGTGGGGTTTACAGCTTGTGGTTTGTCTTGGGAGAGCAAACCATGATCCCATATGTGGATAATGGGATCAAGCCAAAGAATAGCTTAGCTCAAAGCAGTGCAGCAGGACGAGAACAAGGGGAAGAGTGCAGAGAGTCTCTCAAGAACATTTGCAGCCAACCCAAGGTTTGGCTTACCTTATGTGTGAACTGAAGAGTGGGCAAGAATCATTAACTCACGTTTCCTTTAATGGCTGCAAATCCAATAGGAATCTTCAATAGCTCCGTTAGTGCTTGTGTTTATGATTCTGCATCCTAGACAGCTGATTTGCAATAACTAAGACTGTTATACAGCAATAAAGCACAGAATTCTCTGTTTTTACAACAGATTAATTTTTTTCAGCCAGCCTTGCAGTTAGCCACTTGCCCACTCACATTTGGTGAGTAGTGATTTCTTCTGATCACATAGATTGCCAAACCCACTACTGTGACGCTTAAAATACACGACGGCAGGCACATAGGCTGGTGGGAAAAATATTGGTGGGGCTGGTAATTTTTTTTAAAAAATATTCACCTTCAAGGCTTCAAGAACAATTCAGTGAAACAACATGCTTTAAATTCAGCATTAATCTCAACCCAGGACAGCTTGGTAAGATTTGTCACTGACATTTGTATATGTTTTACATGAGACACACTTTGTTCTGCTCTGGCCTCCAGTTCTGAAATCTGACATTTTCATGTTTGAGTGCATGAGCTCAGATTGTCATTCCGAATAATGAAATGTGCAAGAAACATTTTTTTAAAAAAAAAAATTCTAGTCACTCCCCCCCAGTTTTGAAGCACAATACTGTATTCATATAATTCCATTTCATTTCAGGATATTAGTTCTAGTGTGAAAGGTGGAGGTTATTGTAATGAATAGTTAAGCGATGGGCTGTAATGCAAGACAACGTGTTGTTGTTTTCTGCACTTGGAAACATTTATGAGGGGGATGCTCATGCCAGAAAGAGTATTATAAGTTTTGGATTATAAAAAAATCTATAAAAAATAAAAATAAAAAGCAGTATTTTCACGAGGACTTAAGAATGCAGTGGTTTTCAGCCTGTTGTCTTCCAGATTGTGGGCTTCAACATCTGTCAACCCCCACCAGCATGACCAATGGTTAGCAATGATGGGAACTGTTGTCCAATAACTTCTGGAGGGCCACAGGTTGCCCACTACTGCTTTACTGGCAGCTTGGCCTGTTTAAATGAAATGTAGGCATTTGTATTGCTTTCTGAGCCAAGGGGGGGGGGGGAGATTCTTAGGGTATGAATCCACGAGAGGCCCAGCCACAGACATCTCTGTCCTATTTCCCAAGCCATCAGAGGGGAGCAAATCTGGGTTTTCTGGCTAGGAAGGGGGATATCTGAGCAGCTCTGTGGAACTCGAATAAGAGCCTCTTTTCTCTATTATTCTAATTGAGACTGTGCCTTTAATAAAGGGGCAGCCAATGTGGTTCCCTCTGGATGTTGTGACCTCCAGTTCCCATCCTCCTTGACCACTGGCCATGTTGATGGTGGCTGATGGCAGCTGGAATTCAGAACATCTGAAGGGCACCATGTTGGCTGCCCGTTCTTTAACAGCGGCACGCAGAAATTCGACAAAATGCAGCTCCCCCATTATTGCATCCCTCTGCCAGACAAAGCAGCTCCTGATTGATTTCTGCCTGTTGCAGAGCAATTCGAAGCACTGAACCTCTGTCAGGGAAAAGCTGGCAAGCATTCTGAGCGACCAAGGAGAAGAGCTGACTCAAAACCCAGGAATGGTTGGGGAGAGGAGAAGGGAATGGAACTGCTTGCGGGGGTGGGGTGCAATATAACGGGGAGCAAAAACCTCTGACCTTGGACCCAGAATGGCTCCCCAAGAGTGTGGTTGCTATGCATTGACAGGAGTTTACACATCTTCTGAATGTCAAAGCGATATACCTTATTGTTTCAGTGACGTCTCTCTGTATAAATCCATTACCTTTCCTTTGTGAGAAAAGAAATATTGAAAGTTATATTTTAAAAAAGCACTGTATGATATATATTGATGGAAGACTATTCCATATTGCTGACACTGTATCTTACTAATCAAAGGGCTGATTCAATCTTATGGGTTTGTTGTAGCACAAACTTCTTGTGTGGTAGGAACTATTGCCTTGTTTTTCGGGTGGGGAGCTTTCTAGCCTAGCCTCCTGTCTGGGGTGCTAAACTTTCTCACTTGTGGCGCTGTTTTCGCAGGGAGAACTCTCAACAGAACAACTCAGTGGAAAGTTGAGGTGGTACAAACACTTTGTCCAAGCTGTACCTCCTCAGTGAAACGTGTTTGAATTGGTCCATGCTCCCTGTCTTATCATGTGGCTATTTTGACGACTGTGGCTTTTGTGGCACATTTCTGTGGTTTTTAACAATTTGTAAGCGAAACACAGAACAGAATTTCATGTGTGTGCATAGGTCTCGTTTTGTCTGAGGCCGTAGGGGTTTCAATTGCAATAACTTAGTTTTTATGCCAAATGTAAACTATCTTGTTGAAAGTTTTAATTTGTAAAACTACAAGGACTTCTCAAGACTGGTGTATTGAACACCGCTGTTTCTTCCAGACTCATCAGATGGGTAGATCTGAGCAACAATCTACATCTCAAAATACTATAATGCGTTTCTTTGTCTACATTTGTATATTAAGGCAATTCTGATTGTTTTCAGGTTCCCACTATAAGGAAGCATCTCCTAATGTGTTCTAGAATGAATGCTCTTGATTTTTATACAAAGTGTATACAATGTATGACAACTACGTGTTAGGCTTGTTTGCTAAAATGAAAAAGTCAGTTTATTTTGATTGTATTGCCCTAGTAAAACAAAGAAAGAATCTTGTTCAAATGTTGCCAAAACCACTTTTTGTTCTCTCTGTCTTTCTCTAACATGCCCAGGAGTCTGATGTGTTCAGTGTGCAAACTTGTGTAGCTGCCTCCTTGCCTAGGACAAGTAAGAATCCCTCTCAGCTGACCAGAGAGGAAAGCGTCTATAAATTGGATAATAATTGGTTCTTTTCTTTTACTATCCCTTTCTTTCAAAGCGTGACTCTGTTTGAATGTAACACTAAACTCTGGTTTGCCTGTAACGTGCTCTTATTCCCTCCAGTCCCACCAAATATCACAAACTGGAAAACTGCAGCAATTTATTATTAGTAGTACTATTAGTATTATTTTACATATGCTACCTAGACACAATTTGTACAAATGTAGTGGACAAATGTGCCATTTCCTCTGGGGCCAAAAGCAGCAATTTTTAGAACTCTTTTTTTAAAAAAAGAAAGTGATTGTCAATGAATTGGTACAACATGCTGTCCTATTAAGACAACCATGAAAGTTTTCACGCATCAGTGTATATCCGCCCATCCCTCCAAGTTACATGAAGATTATCAAGTGTATTTTGTAATATATGCAAAGAAGATTATTTTAATCCGAGGAGAAGAGATTCTGTAGACCTGTGCACTAGGGTTTGTTTCTGTAGGCCAGTTCTAGTACCTGTGTGGGTTGTAAACAGCTCCTGGGTGTAAGTTAGACACATGAGTACAACCAGCACCATTGCCCACTGCACATAGATCTCTAAATGCAAATCAGAAATGTGCTTGCTGTGAAAAAGAGATGGAGCAATGCCATGAGAGGGGCTTACTCACATTGAATTTTTGCATATCAGTCGCAATTCGCATTAAAAGATGCATATGGGAGTCTTTGGGGGGAAGAGATATGAGCCCAAGGATCATGAGCTAGCACGATGTGAGCTGTGCATCCTTTACTCTGCACTGTGTGTACAGCACTCGTTTTAAATACAAAGTCTCAGCAGGTTAGAAAGGAGAAACTCCTTTTTCTTACCAGCTGAGTCTTTCAGCCTGTTGAGAGTGACTAAGAGCCTTTGCAGCACTGTGTATCCCCAGATGTTCAAAAGCATGAGTCACATCTTGATTTTTAAAGTACTGTATTTATATATGCGAGTTTCTTTTCACTTGACCCTCTTTTCTGTTGCTGTTTCCTTCAGGCTGCTTTCTAGCCCCCCTCGTGTTTTAGAGAAGTGGCCAGCAAATAGCTGCCAGTGTGCTTGACTATTGGCACAAACGGTTGACATAAGGTTGACAGAACATATCTCTGCCCTGCAGAGAGGAGAGCCCTCGCAAGGTGGCTTACTGTGAAAATGTTAAATAGCATTCCGCAAGCGAAAGAAACGCCGTCAGGTTTACAAGAGGGATTGATTTCTTGAAATATTTATAGCTTGCTTTCTGATTAAAAGTCTCTGAGGCAGCTAATAAAACGTATCAAAAAGCAACATGGAATCGTTTCTAAAAGCATACCACTTCTTTCAAATACTCAATAAAAACTAGTCAATGCAGCAGAACTACAGGGTGAGGTGGTGGGAGGAAATTGGGGCAGTCCAAAAGCCCTCTGGAAGAGAGGAACCTTGACCATCTAGATACCTTTACTAAAAGCCAATGAGAAAGGAGAAAAGCAAGCATCTCTAGGGAGGGAGTTCTGGAACTTTGGGGCCACCATAGAGAAAGCCCTGTTCAGGGCCAGATTTAGGTTTGATGACGTCCTAAGCTACTGAAGGTGATGGGGCCCTTTATATGTCCAGCTGTCCTTTGTCAACAACAAATTGTCACTTTTTTGTGTTGAATATATGCTATATGGTAATTAATGGACCTAATAGGTTTCTAAAGCCACAATGGGATCAAAATAAACAAATTATGTATTACATGGAACCAATCAGTAGGCATAAGACTCATACCCTTAGTCTATGCTGCCTGATCATCAGTCTACAATCACTCTTTAATATTAGATAACAGGTACAACAGCTTGACCTGCATTAAACTGCGCTGCACTGCAGTCTGCAGCTGCATGCTACATGTTGCCATGCGACCAGTCCATGCAGAATGTAGGCACCCTGTATATAGAAATGAGCAAACCAGTGATATTTTAGGGAGCAGGCTAGCAGGTGGGCCCATTACTTACATCACAGGAGCCTACACAACACAAAACAAAACACTGTTGCTGTATGTAGGTTTTATTTTATTTGTGTTTTATCTTACATTTTGGAAATGTACATCCAGGGGTTTTTTCCTTTAAATTTTTTTGGGGCCCCCAAGAGAGTGGGGCCCTAAGCTATAGCTTGTTTAGATTATATGTAAATCTGGCCCTGGCCTGTCCTATGTCATCACGCAGCATACATCTTGTACTGGGGGCACACAAGGCAGAATGAATGCAAGTAAGAGACCAGTCTCTCAGAATTTGTGTTAAATGCATATTGAAAATACATGTTGAAGCATTCATATTGATGCCATGGCCTCAGCCTGTACCTTGAGGAAAGATCGTAGCTCAGTGGTAGAGCATCTGCTGTGTGTGCAGAAGGTCTCAGGTTCTATCTTTGGCATCTCCAAGGAATGTCCCCTATCTGAATCCTGGGATGGCTGCTGGTAGTCAGTGTTGACAATACTGAGCAGGATGGACCAATTGTCTGAAACATTTGAAAGAAAAATGGGTCTGATCAGCGCTTGAATACCAAGTTCTCTGACCTACAAAGGTGTGAGAAAAGAAGGTATGTTATGAACAAGAAATAGAGCAGTAATGGAGGAGCAAAATGACACCTCAAGCAGCCCAAGCAGGCAGTGTATGGAAGTCCATTGTTTCTGCCCGCTTGTAGGGGTTGTGGGAATTCAGGACATGAAAACAAATCCTGAATGAAACAGCTCGTATACATTTAAGTGTTTATTTAAAGTTGTTTCTTTGCATTCCACCTTTCATAAAGGGTTCACAATAAGAGTTTACAATAAAGAGCAATTATGTCGTTAACTGGCCTGTGATTGTTGAAGCATTTAATTTTGTGGGATTCACCCCTTGTGTTGAATTTATTCTGTTCTGATCTGTCTGGAACTATTTTACTTGTTTTGCAGTTGTAACGGTTTGATCTTTCTTTTTTTTACCATTGTATAATATATTGCTCCAACCAGCACCGGGGACTTCCAGTGCAGGCCAGGTAAGAAATCAAATGAATAAATAAAATACTAGCAACCAAGAGAGCGACACAGTCAAGAGGCAGTCAACACAGCCAAGCGTGCGATGTGCTACAAACAGCCCAGGTGAATTCTGATTATTAAAAGCAGCTGATGACATGAAAACCGGTCAAGGTCACATCCACAGACATGCCTTCTCAGCAGTATTGAATTGCTTTTCAATCTCAATTTCTCTTTCCCCCCCCTCCCATTTTTTATTAAACTATGTTGAGATTTTTAAACGAATTTTTACAGAGAAAAAGGCAACAATACTTTAAAAGAAATAAAAGAAACAAGGCACTGTCCTTTTCCCATAATAGATGCAGGAAGCCCCCACATATTCAGGTCTTTGACTCCTGGCCATCACAATTCTTAGGATATTGTGCTCCAGGTCATTTTCATGCAATCTGCCACTGCCCTCAGGAGCTGGGTCCTTGCATCCATTTCCTTGATTTGCACCCCACTTCCTGGTGTCTTCAAATAAAAGTGCTTGTTAAATCAATGCTGCATCCTTTAACTTGTTTAAAATATTGCAGTGCTCCCTGACCATTCTCTCTTCTGTACTGTACTGTCCTAAGCAGTAGTCCAGGGAGCACAATAATCAGCACCTTGGACAGCTCCTAGATGTCATCTTGCACTGGCAAGAATTCCTCTTGGCCAAACCTCCCAGGTTCTGCCCACTTCCTGAAGAGTGGAGAGTCAGACCAGGGTAGTTTTCAGTTGTTTTTGGCCATCTCCTGCCATGAGCATGGTCTGTGTCAATCAGCAGCCACTTGATAATGTGAGGCCCCTGGTGTAAAAGGGGTCAGTTTTTCAGGGTGTGCTGTTGCTGGGGATCCCAGGGGTCTCGGGCTTAAGAAGACCAAGGCTGAGGCTCCTAATCGGGCTTGGTGTTGTGTCCTGGGTCTGGGTTCAACTTCTGCTCAGCTGGTACCACTGTCCCTTCTGATTCAGCTGTTTCTTCCTCTGTGTCTGGAAACTGGCTGCTCTTTGGGGTTGGCGACTCAGCTGATTTTTAAAAAAAATAAATTGCATCAGTCTGTTAGTTCACTATGAACACCTTACTAATCTCTTCTACTAATACTGGTGGGGGTTTTGGGGGGGGGAGCATTTCTGACCCTGCGCAATCTTGATTTAATGGAATCCTGTCAAGGTTGCCACCTCACTTTTCACACTGCATAATCTCTGGTGTGTGCCTGAGTTCAGCAGCAGACAGAATTGCAAGCAGCCCATCATTCTTAGAAGAGGTGGTGCAGATATGTGTATAGATCAGCAGCACAAAGATTAGTATTTGGACAAGAAGGATTGAGTTGAAATGAGAGTGTGGGTGGTATTACTAAGATTGCTTGTAGCACCCCAGGGAAAAGAATTATGCAGCTGCATTCCTCTGCAAAGCTAACTGGGAGCAAGTTCCATTGAATAGACATGAACAGGATTGCACTGTGATGCCTTTTATTTACTGTACACATCTCTTTCATTACACAGGGCTGCAATGAAATTTTCATTTTAGTCTCAAATTATGTTTTTCTGAGGTAGGAAGTTATTTTTATGGTTTTCACAGAAAAAGGTATGAATAGCATTAATATGTAACTAGACGCTTCCCCTTAAAATGACTACATGCATTTTACAGCTGTCACTGTGCTGCTTCTTACAGGAGGTTTATATAAGATGTTTTTGTTTTCATAACAAAATTCATATTGGATTATATAAACAAAGCACAGTGAGGAATTTGTCTTAAGGTGTTTTGCAAAGCAAGGTGAAATGCAAGCTTATGTACACGTATTTGGAAGTAAGACCAAATATACCTAAGCAAATGTGCTTAGGGTTGGATTGGCAGCCTAGCAGCCTATATCATTCCTCATTTTGCAACAGAAAACTGGTTTTCACATAATTGGGAGGACAAGTTAACTTCTCAGTGCTTTGGAACTATTCATTCTACTGAGTAGAATTTACTTCTTTTTTATTTTTAAATGTTGTTTTTATTTATTTCCATGGTACAGAAGATAAATTTTGAGAAAACAACTGTTACAACAGTAAGCAGCAAATAACTTGTCCTGATAAAACACATGTGATGTGTTAAAGTTTCATTTAAAGAGATCACACCACATGAGCACTGGTTGAATTCCTTCCTGCATTCAATAAAAGTTTGCCATATGTTATAAAAGGAATATGGATTGTGTTTGCCCTTTGCCACTCTCACCTGGCATGTTAGTTTCTCAGCCAAAGCTATTGACCATGCTCTGTTATACCAAGGATCAATGTTCAGCCCAACACCAGTTTTCCAACATCTGGCTATCTCCATATGGACAGCAGTCAATAGGAAGGCTAAGAGGTCATCTTTAGGATAATCATGAGCAGACGGAATCCTAAGCCCAAGTAGTGCTAGTGCAGGGGGACATTTCAATTGTTTTCTTGTATATCAAGCTTATTTCTTTGAAGACAGTACTCCAGAAGGGTTTGGTGATGTCACAGCACCACCACATATGGAAATATGTACCTTTGACTGTGCATCCCCTCTAACAATTGGGATTGACTTCTGTACATATTTGGGATAGCTTCACTGGTATATAATGCCACCTATGCAGAAGTTTTAATGAGGCTTCCCTTATTTTTGCAGAAACTGATTTCAACAGTCTCCCAGACCACAAAGCCATCTATTTTCCATTTGGTATTTGCACATCGAGGTCCATTTCCCATGGCATTTTTGTGTACAATAGATTGCCATATTCTAGTGTTATTAGAACTTTATAAATTGAGGAAGCTATGCCCTTAGAGAGAGTATAATTTACTTCTGAGCAAGCACATAGGGTTGCACAATGAACCTCTTGTAAAGGATTTCAGTAGTTCATAACAGGTGCTTCTTAATTATGTTTCAGTTATAATAAGGGCAAGGCTGTATTTTTCAGAAAAGAAATAATTGGAGAGTCTAAAAAATTAGGGCAGGATGGGATGGAGGTGGGAAGCTGTCTTTGTGTAATTCTCTTGGCTGAAAGGCTGTAACTTAACAATAGGACGTGATTATCTAATAATAACATCATCATCATACTGCGCCTTTTCCCCTGTTGGGATTCAAGGTGGCTTACAGATAAAAACAAGAACCCCTAAAAACATTAAAAGCCCCTTTGTTTAGGAAATTCTGCAAGTCAGTGTATGGTTACAAAACCCAGTAGGTACACTTATCCTAACCTAGCCCCTTTATAAAAACATAGGGTGAGATCCATTTGTGACAGTCTGCTTGCATAATGGGGCTTCCTTGCCCTCCAGCCCTCTGTGCCCACACATCTACTCCAGAGTGTCTTCTAAGGAAAAGTCCTAAACCTTCAGAGTAGATTGGGAGTGCAGGGGAAACAGAGGAAGGAGAAGCCTTGTTGCGCAAGCAGAGTCCCTGCTGATGTTACGTTGAATCTCAGCCTTAGTTTTATTAACTTTTTCATTTTACAGTGATGGGCCACTCTAGACTTGGCATGGTGGTGGTTGCGGTGCATATTGCAACTTGTCATTGACACAAAAAGAGTGCATTAGTGGTAGACAATCATTCCACATTCTTAATTGTTCTTCGATGCTTCCCTAATGTTACTGTATGATTGTCATTTGGAGGGGCATTCTTGTGGTAAAACACAACAAAAGTGGGACGACAACAACGAAACACCCCAGGTTTGTGGTATGAAAAGTTACAGGATTTTAGTAGGAAACTCCATGGCATGCGTCCGTTGCAAGTGAAAGTAGCACAACTGCCCTGCATTGTTTGCAGTTCAAATGGTAGTGAAAACACAATTGTGTATAACTGCCCCAAAGGCATAATGAGCACAAATCAGGATGAATGTGCAATAAAAAGGACACAAATACATGTGAGATCATTCAAAGTAAGAGTTGTGACCTTGCAACTTTGTCCAGGGCATGAGTTAGGGAGAGGGGAGGTAACTGCCAATCCAATTCACAATTCCCTTCCTTATCAATGGACATGTATTCATATGCACTAACTCCTTCCTACAAGTCGCAACATAACTCTGAGAGCATCAGATACAGGCTCATAATAAAATTACATGTTAAAATCGCCTGCCTGATTAGGTGGCTTACTGAAAGAAAAGGGGTTTTATCAGGTGCTGAAAGCACTACAGTGAAAACGCCTGCTTAGTATCAGTAGGCAGGGAGTTCCAATAAGTAGTGCTGTCACACAGAAATACAGATTCCTTGTCAATCTAGAATGAACGTTATTTGGTACTTGTGATTCTCATTGGAATCTTCCTTTGGCTGGGTGTTAAAGAAGAAGGGGGAATGGGATGGGGAAGGTAGATGTTCAAACAAGAGATGTACCCTCTTGCTTTCTTATTCTCAGTGTGCAAAGCTCTGCTGTTTGTATCCCATGTGAGTCACCGTAGCTGACATT